TCGAATTCTAGCACACCAAACCCAGCTGATAAACCTGTCTGCAAAATCGGGATACACTTACTGCTTATATCTATTGCAATAATAACACTATAGCCAATGTAAAATCGGTTGATTGTGCAGATCGGCAGATTACACGCAACACGTGTTCGATCTTTTTGGAACCGATATGGCCGGCGGCACGGGATTGTAGGTAATATTGCTATTTTTAGTGCAAGTCGCGGAACCCTCTATAGGCCATGGCGTCACGATCCTATGTAATGAATGTCTTCGTTGTTATCTTTGGAGTTATTATCTTTGTTATCATCGACTATAGTAGGTACCCGAAGGAGGAAATTAGCGGTGCGTTTTTGGAAGTAGGTGCAGTTTTGATTGATTGTTTGGCGAATGTTACTACAATCAAGGCGTGCGAAGTAACAGCTTACCAGTTTAACCTTTACTTCTACACCCCACGTAGCTCTGCGTAGACGCGTGACTTGTAACAGGTGCAGCAGAAAGACGTATTACGAAGAGCTCAGTTTCAGCGTAAATGCCTTGTACATTACATTACATTACATTATCGCGCCACGTATTTTTGCATTAAAATATATCTCTCCGCTACGCCTTCGCGGTCCCCCACATTAATGCACGGCCTTCTGTGCGTGCTTGTTTCCTTGTTGCGCAACCATGCAATTGTTTATTCACGCCAATGTCCCCATTGTCATTTTCCATTCCATTACGTAAGATGAAGCGTAAAATTAAACGCTGAAAAATGATTGCGTGGCATAAAGGTATAATAGTTAATTATAGCATTATTTTTTCGATTGTTTTATGACGACGATTTTTTTTTCATGTGAAGTAATGTATAAGCCGTATTTTTCGCGTACAGATATTTTCGCGAATTCAGACTTGACGGATAATTTTGCGAGTGGTTAATGTCCCGGTCGATGAATTATGAATTATTCGGCATTACTGTATAAGCTGTATATTTCGCGGTGGTTTAATTTTCGCGAATTTCGTGAACGCGTCCCCGACCGCAAAAATAACTACACGCGAATCATTCATACCGAATAATACCGAATAATACATAATTCACCGACCGCGAAATTAACCACTCGCGAAATTGTCCGTCAAGTCTGAATTCGTGAAAAAATCAGTATTCATTATTCGCGTGTTATACACGCTGAGTGAAAAAGGTGTGATCAACAGTGTCCAGCGAGAACATTAAATTGACTACGTCACGAATTTTGTATGGTAAAATTTATAAAAGTTTTGTTGCCTAAAGTCCGTAAAAGAAGAACTAACGGGACTAAACGTATCCTCAAATTCTTACCTGATAAGATTGTTTCTCAACTAGTTAAAAATCCAAAAAACCTGGACGATTTGATATTGTGTACCTAACATTAATTGCTTGCTATGGGCTATGTATGAGTCACGAGTGTATGTTAACATCGAACAATATAGTAAAATAAGAAGTATAATGCAGCAATTTAACCATAAAAAGTGAACAGAATTACTTATAATTTGTGAAAAAGTAGAAATATTTTTTTTATTTTTACTATTAATTTACGGTGACGTAATCACTTACTGAGCATATTCTAATACGAAGGAGCATATATACGAGCGAGGCGAGAGACAGAGAGTGTGCACGTGCGTGTCTGCGTGTGTGTGCCTGCGTTTCTGTGTTTGTGCGCCCGTGCGCGTCCGTGGGCATGTGTTTGTTTGTGTGTGTGTGTGTGTGTGTGTGTGTGTGTGTGTGTGTGTGTGTGTGTGTGTGTGTGTGTGTGTGTGTGTGTGTGTGTGTGCTGCGCGCTCGTGTTCAGGCGTACGCGTGAGAGTGACGAGAATAATAATAGATAGATATGAACTATCAGAGAGAAACAGAGATGTGATGGGGAGGATGGGTTAGGCGTGGACGCGTGGTCAGAGTACTGTGTACGGTCCCCTGCAGTCTAGCTACGAGCTTACTAATGGAAGCCACCCATAGCAAAACGCGAGATTTCTTCATCGCGCCTATTCGTGGCCTGCGTTCATTTCCCGTCATTTGTTGCCGTCCGTCACCCCTGCGCCATGGCCAGCCGTACGCGAGGTGATTGTCTCTGCATGAAAGGAAGCTAAATTTGCGACAATTCCGGCGGACTTAGCGTGTGCACTGTACCAACAATGGCGGCGGCAACAGCAGTAGCAGCCACGGTGACGCAACCTGTAGCATTAATACACAGAAATTCCCTTTCGCGTCTTTGATGTATATGCAACGGGACCTATTCGATATGCGTGCGCGTATATATACGCTGTTACGGCTCTGATTTACATCGAGTTGAATTTGTGATAGTGTATCGTAGGGTCGTTTTCATAGTTCGAGGCCTCCTTATCGCGGTCCAGTTACATATAGCTGTGCTCAATATCACACCTATACTTCTATATGCGCGTGCAACCTATAACTTATCTGCCGCGCTATTTTCAGCGCTATACTGTATTTTATTGAATTCAAGAAACACCGTCGTATGCAGTACGCGCGCACCGGGCGGGAAAATTTCACTTACAATTTGGCCTGATATCGGGTTTTATTGAATAATTGTGTTACATCGCAACAGCGGCGAAGTGCGGTCGCCATCTCTGTAGAAATCCAATGCAGGTTGTTGTCGGTCGCCGTCTATTTAAAATGGCGCATTAGTTTGAATGTTATGCTGCGGCGCGAAACTCTATAGCACGCGGTACTATCGCCTTCTAGAAGTATAATATATATAGAGAGAGCCATGCCCCTTCTGTTTGTGACATGTTGGCAATTTCTACATCGGTGTAAGGACTACTGAAGTCTCGTTTATGCATTAGGCTACATAATCACGTGCAGGCAGCACACTCACACAAAAGCATTTACACGTATACTGACGGATACGCACACGCACGCGTGCCTACTCACACGCACACGCGTGCACGCACACACACACGCGCGCGCGCACGCACTCACACACACCCGCGCGCGCACACATATCCGTACGCACACTCACACCTTCACGCACACGCACGCACGCACACACACGCACACGCACACACACCCCCACACACGCACGCATGCGCGCGCACACACACACACACACACACACACACACACACACACACACACACACACACACACGCACACATCCGTACGCACACTCACACCCGCAGGCACACACAAGCCCGCAAGCACTCCAATATGTCACGAAAACTACCCGTCGTCTTGGCGAGATGTTTCTTGCTTTATTCCGTCAGCGCGTATATTCTAAAGTAATCTAGAGTAATCTAAATGACAGATTTACTCGCGATATATAAAGCAACAGCTTGGGAAATCTTATTAAACGCAACTAAATGTATTCATATGTATAACTAGTTAGATGTGTGCGTATACGTGAATATGCGTACGTGTATGCATGGCAGGCGGGTTGGGACACAAATGGTATTTAGTGACTGTCACTAAAATAAATCATTTAGTGTCTTACACTAAATCATGTAGTGTCTATCATTAAATTATTTAGTGTTTGTCAATAATTCCATGCCTATGATTGGCTGAGAAAAAATAAGTTGTATCTGATTGGTTGATTTAATGACTGTCACTAAATGTAATATATGATAAATACCATTTTTGTCACACCTCGCCTGCCATATGAGCGTGAGCGTGCGCGCGCGTGTGTGTGTATGTACGTGCGCGGGCGCTCGTGGAAGTGTAGGGATCTCAGAGAAAACAGGTAGCCAGGCAACACTAACCTCTATATGGATGATCAGCGTAACCATTGTTAAGCTATAATTACCCGTCAACCTGAGGGTGGCGACCAGCCAATGAACAAGCGGGCGTATGGCTCATCTTATCAAGGCCCGCGGCCGTTTTGTGAACCAACGAGCTGTCGTCGGCTCGCCGCCACATCATCCGACGAAGTGACATCTCATATTGCGCGAGAATTTCCCATAACCTTATAATACTAGCCGTAGGCTCGCATATCATACCTCCGGCGTGGGCGAGCGCAGGTAGGCGGTAGCGTGACCTGTGGGGACTTACGTTATTATGTATCCCGCTGAACTCTGCGTCGCACTCCGTCGCACCTGCGCTCTATAAGGTCGCACCTGAGAGATAGCGGGGCGGTATCGCATCCGCACCGGCGTGGTGTGGTCGCAAGTAATTATCATAATCTTGCTCCCGCTGCGAGTATCCTGTCCTTAATGAGATGAACTAATTAGCCCATGTAATTATTGACTACGTGCATGGACTCGGGAGAGAAATTGAGAGGGAGAGATGAAAGAGATGCAGAGCGAGAGAGAGAGAGAGATTGAGGGAGATGCTGAGAAGATAGGAGGCGTAGAGGAGATGTTATTAACTCTTGTGTAATAACTGCTACATCCCGGACCTGTCGCCTTCATCGGATTCACGTGACAAAGCTAATTACCTTCGACAACAGCTCGCTTATGGATACAAATGGGCGCACGCCTGACGTGCAGAATATATAATATCGCTGTTTACGAGACAGCAGAGCGCGTCATCTCAAGTCTCCCCATATCTTAGGTTTCGCAAATAACCCGGGTTTCCGCTCACTGCTAGTCACCCCCGCCACCTGCGAGGTTTCCCTTATACGTCGCTCGTTCTCCTTTCATCTTAATCGCGTGTTGTCTATACATAGACACCCCACGCGTAATCTTACGCACATGCACACGCGCACGAACGAACGCACGAACGCACGAACGCACGCACATACGCATACAGACGCAATCACTCACATTCACACGCACAAACGCCTGCATGCACACACACACGCACACACGCTCACACACACACGCGCACGCACATACACACACACACACACACACACACACACACACACACGCGCGCGCGCGCACACACAGAGAGAGAGAGAGAGAGAGAGAGAGAGAGAGAGAGAGAGAGAGAGAGAGAGAGAGAGGAGAGAGACGTCTCTCGCCGTACAACCGCCACCTGTCGCGTGCTACGCTGCGCCGACAATATTTTTTCATCGTCAACCCGATGTTCGATTTTGCAGCAGGACGGTCTGTTTGCCAAAGTTCTGAGCTTCTTGCTTCGCTGTGGTTGCGACTGCAGCGAGCTGTGCGACAGCGACTGTCTGCGCCCGCGCCGCAAGGGCTACATCCGCAAGGAGGACATCGTTTACGAGGTACCGAGCCAGACGTCGTGGACGTCGATCGACCAGCGCACGTCCGTCGACAGCTTCAGCTCCGACTCGGAATCCCGCCGCAGTATCAGCACGGCGGGAGCCGACGTCGCCGGGCCCGCCGTGCCTCCGACGACGACGTCTTCCGCTATGCCGCCGCCGCCGACGACGGCGACCGAGCGGAAGACTTCGGCGGCGAAGAGACCGACGCTAGCGAGTCCGCACATTGACTGGAAGCCGATTGAGTTCTGGACGGCGAGCGTCGGTCGCGAGCACGCGTCGCCGCGCCTGCACGCGCCGCGCCGCCGCAGCAGCCTCTCCAAGCTGTCGCACATACAGCCCGATCTTTACGAGAGCTTCGACGAGTCGACGGACCTGACCGACGACGAGAAGAGCGCCCTATATAAGCTCGGACAGGTGCACTTCAGTCTGCAGTACGACGTCGCCTCGCAGGCGCTTCTCGTGAAGGTGATCGCCGGTAGAGACCTCTGTCGGCCGCCCGACGACAGGCCCGAAAGGGGCCGGAGAGAGCCGAACCCTTACGTGAAGGCGTGCCTGCTTCCCGACCAGAAGACCTGCCAGCAGACGTCCGTGAAGCGGAAGACGGCGGCGCCGAACTGGGACGAGGTGCTTCCGTTCGCGCTTGCGCACAGCGAGGCGCAGCGGCGCATCCTGGAGCTGAGCGTGATGGATCATGCGCCCCGACAGCACGTCGTGCTCGGCCAGGTGCACCTGCCGCTGTCCGGAGTCAACATCGTCAGAGGGCGCCACATGTGGAAGCCGCTGATGCCGAGCACAAAGGTATCGTCATCGTTGTCGCTGTTTCGTTTTGTGGCGAGCGTCATTTTTTTTCTGTGCGATATCTCTGCGACGAGGACGTGTGAATTAACTTGTATTGAAATTGATAGAGCTTTTGCAATTATATTTCTCAAAGTTATTGATAGTTCTTTGGGAAAATACGTTTCCTGGGCACCATATTCCACATGCCTCGTTATAACAAAGCAGCTTTTGTAATTGTGTCATTTCATATGTTTTCAATTCGTCGCCACCCAGGAGTTTATTGATCTTGACATTAACTTGCCAGTGAATTTGAAGCGCGTACATTGGGTCTGTCTGATACTGCGTAATTTCCCCAGGGGTTCCAGCAACCACGTTATTAAGTACGAATGTAACACTGTGAATAGAGATACAACTGCTAGAAAAATCATCCAATGTGTCTCACCACATGTTAGTTATTTTCCCATCAGTTTCTATGTAGGTCTTAGATAATAAAATCCATCCCATAACGATATATTAATAGATAGATAGATAGATAGATAGATAGATGGATGGATGGACGGACGGATGGATGGATGGATGGATGGATGGATGGATGGATGGATGGATGGATGGATGGATGGATGGATGGATGGATGGATGGATGGATGGATATCCATCCATCCATCCATCCATCCATCCATCCATCCATCCATCCATCCATCCGGATGGATGGATGGATGG